TAATATATTATGTGGATAAATCCACACTAAAACTAAACTACCACATTTGACACGAGATGAAGTGAATTCTAGTCAATGCCATAATTCAACCTGCTGATGTACTGAAACTACAACTCTCAAGATTCCCACTAGTTAGCCAAGAGTACCAATTCTGGGGAGTTATAGCCCCAACATACCTGAAAGATGCCACATGGGAAAAACTAATATAATCAACATGTTAGTTTGCAGCTCTTTCCAGATTTGCTGTAACAGACTAAGGCAGAAATCTACCACTGGAAAATATTTGCCAGAAATGTCCCCAAACAATATACTTAATGAATCATATTGAAGATTGATGAAGTTCTGATTTGCTTCTCCAGCAATTTTTTCCCAATTCTTCAACTCTTATTCATACCTGTATTTTATCATGAATACTAAGCTTCAAGGAATACCTTGATTGGAGGCAAGGAAAGATACATACGTGAACTAGATAATTAGAAAGTGGAGAGTGCTAATATTTTCTTCTTACCTTCATAGGCTGAAGCTGTACCCGTGTAATCCTTGAAGGGTCTACAACAGGTTTGGGACGTTTCAGAGTGTCCAAAATATTCTGCCATTGAGGTGGCAAGCCAATAAACTTCCCTTCCTTTGGATCAAATGATGTGTGTACACGATGCTCAAAATTCTGAGGAGCAGAGATTTCAGGTCGCTTCTTTTTCTTCTTGCGAAACATTGTGCCTGAATGAGAGAGAACAAATGCACTGGATAGTTTATTGGACTTTACCCAGCATCAGTTGCAAGCAATTTATACCATGTGGCATTTAGTAACACCATCTGAGAACCACATCCATTAAAAGTTGTTCGTCTAGTTCAGCAGAAAGCAAAACGGCATCATAGATGCCACCCTGCATCCATGGTTCCTCCTTGCTAAAACAGACTGAAAACTTTTAATTTAGTAGTTTTAATGGCTGTGAATATGACAAGATTTAACTAATACAATTGCTTTCCAGATGACTTTCTCTTTCTACATAATTTGGATTCCTTTTACCAATTTAAAGAACTGCAGAGTAGGAGGAATAAATATAGCTTAAAAGAATAAAAAAGACTGAAAAATAAAAAGCGTTATTTTTTTTCTGAAAAAAAAAACCCAAGAAAAAAATCAATTTTTAAGAAGTCTATATAAGCCATAATAATTATTAAGCTTAGTTGGGCCTAGAATCAGAGAATGAAGATGACTCAAAAAATGTCCATGTAATAAAATATTTTTCTTATTTGGACTACTGATGCTTATTATTAGATTTCGATCCGTTGCAGACAATGAATCACAGTAATAATCTCACTATGGCTGCCAGTATAGAAAATCAGAAGAGTAAGGTACTCTAAGCAATCATGTTACTGATATTTATGTTTTCATACTCAGGTTTATGAATCTTGTAAAAACAGCATCCGGCACCATCTTCTGGTTGCTTTCTTCTGCAGATTAGAATTTAACATCAGTTTTATGGATTAGTAAACACTGTCTTTTGCTATTAGGGTGCAAATAAAGTGACTGTCTGAATATGTTACATATTCCTTTAAGTATTAATTGAGTCACTCACTGTTTATTGCCTGTCTAGAAATGTATGGTGTTTTCCTTGAACCACACTATGGTATTCGATGCTATGTTTATGGAGTGAGAAAGGATTTATCCTGCTATGATTTTGGTTATTTCTATAACCAATCAAAGAAATAATTTCCCCATTCATCCTTTAGGGGGAAAAATCCTTTATTTTGTAAGTGTGAATGAATAAAGGCCTGGAGAGGAATAAATTCACTTGTTAATGATTACTACATTGTTGCTATTATCATTATTATTATTGATGCACGTTATAATATTAATTCCTCTTCTACCACTCTGTCAAGATAATAAGCCAGTCCATTTGTTTTTACTCAAAGACAGCTGCAAGTTGCAGAACTGCAATAATTCAGAAGCATATTCTGATATTCTTGTTTCTTTCCCTATATCACAATACTAAGAGCTTTGCCTCACCTAGCGAAGATATGAGATTTCCCTAGTAGAAATGAACTGCATTTGGTTGTATTGCAAGAATAATTCAATATTTTGCTGTCCAATATATTAATTATTTGAACAGACCCAAATCTAATTTTCTGTTAATAATACTTGGGTTGGAACATGAGTAAGAGACACGGTGCCTAGGTACCAGTGTGTCAACAGGTGCTTGGTGCCTATAGGTCTCTACCTGAAATGTAATTATAAACTTTAAAAAAGTGATGTGATTGTAGAAAAGAAAGTGCCACCTTCTAGCTATAGTAGGCCTTTGGTTTCCCTACGGCTCCATACAGGGTTCTTACAAAATGACAATATTTTCCACAAAACAGCTATAACATTTTAATTTCATTGCACTTTCAATGTAATTGGCTGACTCTGGACATCCGGCCTTCGTATGCATGTCTTATGTTGTTCTAATGTGTTTGTGTTATTCCTGCTTTGTTCTACACTGCCCAGTATCTCACAATTATGGCAGTCTACAAGTATGGTAAGATAATATTAAGAAAGAGAAGGAGAAAGACGAGAGCTCTGATCTTTTAAAGGAATTTTTTCCCTTGTACTGGGAAAAAGAGAAATTGGGGAGATAAAGAAACGCTCAAAGTTTGACCACAGCAGCCATTTTGTAACTAGGTAAACCTCACTGTGCCATCCATCTTTTAATCACAGAACATCTTTTCAAAATTTAGATGAGCTGAATTTTGAACGCTGTCTAAATTTGGGCTTCAGTATAGCTGTTTATATACAACAAAGCCTTAGGTTAACATTGTGCTATAAAAACATTTGATGATTTATCCTCTAGCCAAACAACCAGCAGCTTCTTGCAGAGCTTTTCCGCATTTAGCAGATTTTAGCTGCCTGCCCAGCTTTTCAACTTCACAAGAAGCTCTCTTGAGCCTGCGCACGCTACTAGAGTATAGATATTCTTGCTCTAAATTTGGGTCAGAGGTATAGCTGAATTTAGTAGGAATAATTTGTACTGCAGCAGTTACAGGCTTGTTTTAGCAATATTAACAATATCTCCTCTCACACTTCAGTGCCATGCTTACCAATAGAACTACATTGTGTATTGTAATCAAAAGGAGTGCATTCAAGTAAAATATTCTACACTGTCCTATTTTCTGAGGCCAGAAACATCTAAAATAACTGAATAAATTACCTGTTCACAAAAGATCTCAAATGTAATAACTAGGCTATTAAAGAGACACACACAATTTACTTTTTAAGGGTAAAGTAGAATTATCCTTTTTTTCAAAATAAATCCTACACCTGAGGAAATCTGACAAAGAAATATCCAAATGGTTCATTGAAGGCAAACCCTGACAGAAAGAACCATCAAATCCTGTCCAATATTCTTAAAAGGAAACTGCTGAAGTAACAAAGCAGTTGTGAGTAATGAGCTCTTATTTGACTGACAAAACTACAAGCTCATTTGGATAATACTACTTCATTTTTTAGTTGTTTTGCATGATCCAACATCTGCCAGATGCACAGGATTTACAGCTGCTAAAATTCTCAGCCAGCTAAGATTTCTAAGAATTGTAATCCCAAATGTCTGGAAGGTGTTAGGTTGGAGAAGGCTGAGCTATATAGCATATTAAAATTGCTTTAGTGAAGTCCAAGGCACATTAATCACTATGCTCCTATTCAAATAGCATATCTTATTATCATATAACTCTATCCAATATCTTAGACTAGAGTTACAACCAAGGGTTGTACTAAGACAATCCAAGTTCCTAATAATAAAACAGCCAGTACTATATAACTTTTTTAACAGCTGACTGAACTTTAGCAACTGTGAGCTATCATAAGTAAATATTGACTTCTGGAGGAAAGCCAAGATATAAACTTAGTAAATAAATATCAACATGTGAAATCTGCCTTGTCTCACCTTCCGTGACATATCACCTTATTAATGAAATACAGTCATTCTAACATATATGAAGTAGTGAGACCATCCAGATCTTGCCTACAGGAGCTTAGTAGAAAAAATTCTGGCAACTGATTTGTTCAAATCAAAAAGGTTAACACTACAATACCATGATGTAGAGGACTACTTTGTCTAGGGCAGTAATGGCGAATCTATGGTACCCATGTCAAAGGTGACATGCCACAAGTTTTGGGAGACAAGCTAATGTTTGCCAACACCCCAAAACAACTATTCTTGAAAGCATATCCTAGCATGATTTTTGGAGACTATGTGAGAATGGGTTATGCTCTCGTGCAGCCTCTGGAGCCTCTGAAAAAATGTGTGAGAGCAAAAAATTCTTTTGTGCTATTTTCAGGTGCTGTAGAAGCCATGGAAGAGTGTTCTCAGAAGCCGCTTCAAGAACAAAAGCCTTGTGTGACCCAGATCTACCTCAGATAGGCCGCAGGGGCCTGTGAATGGAAAGAGAACACTACCTGAAGGTAATTGGCACACAGCAGCTACTGGGGATCACACATGATTGGGCTGTATTTTTAAAAATAAATATATAAAGAAATGTTTCTTTTTTGTTTGAGTGTGTGTGTGTGTGAGAGAGAGAGAGAAAGAGGGGGGGAGCATTGAAGTCAGCCTAAATATGGACTTCTGTAGTAACAGTAAGAACAAAATAACAATAGCAGTATTTTTACTTAATTTACATGACTGAATTGTTGAAAGTGACCAAGAATTCATAAGAAAACATCAGGAAATATATTCACTTATAAAATGCATGCATTAATCATTTAACAGTGCCAGTGTGAATAACAAAGCCCAGATTAAAATAGTGTTCTCTAACTGCACTGCAACATTTTTTTCCAAATTTAGTAACTTCCAGGTGTGTTAATGTTCCAATTCCCATAATTTCTGGTCCAATTTAACATATCTCAGGGCATCTGGAAGAAGCACACCAATTTACAAACCAATATGCAAGCTTTCATGATAAATTGAGTTTAATTGACTAATAAAGGGAGAGGTTTTTGCTGAGAATAAGGGGAAAAACCAGCTGTCCCAAACAAAAAATGGCCATGGCACAGCAACAACACTGACCATAAAAGCAAGAAAGCAAGAGCAGTAAGAGGCCTTTCATTTCAGGAGAGAAAGCAAACACCCCACACATTTGGAGACAGAAGGAGAAGACCGTTCCCACCAGTGGGAAGCTACCCACCAGACAGCAAATCTGTTTCCATTATGTTTTCTGTGATTTAATCTTAAGTCTACATAGCCTTTGTCTATATGGAAGAATTTTCAGACCTACTGACTTTGGAATAAGACTTTTAAAATTCAGCAGAACTTTGGTTTGTCCAGAGTAATTTGTACTACCGTCAAAAAAAAGTTTTTGTTTTTAACAACTCACTATTATGGTTCTGAGAGTCTAAAAAAAATCTTTTACACAAAGTCCTCAACTTAAGACCACAATTGAGCCCGAAATTTCTGTTGTTGAGACATATGTTAAGTGAGTTTTGACCCATTTTACTACCTTTCTTGCCACAGTTGTTAAGTAAATCACTGCAGTTGTTAGGAGCACAGTTGTTGAGTGAATCTGGCTTCTCCATTGACTTTGTTTGTCAGAAGGTCACACGATTACATGATCTTGGGAGACTGCAATTGTCATAAATGACTCAGTTGCCAAGCAGTTGAATTTTGACCATATGACCATAGGGATGTTGCAATAGTTGTACATATGAAAAATGGTCATGTCACTTTTTTCAGTGCCATTGTAACTTCGAA